GGGGGTAGCAGGGGCGAGCAGGATGCAGGATGTGACTGGTGAAACGACTAGGAGGACATGGTTAGTAAGTGAGCGAGTGCGGGTGGCAAGGGGCCAGAAGCGAGATGAGTGAGAGAGGAAGGAGTGAGTCTCTCACCGCTACAGTTATTTAAACGCACTGGTATTTCAAGGTACCAATGCAGGTCACAGTCACACAAGCAAAATAAAGTGAAGTAGAAATTCAAGACTGTGTGTGCTATTAAACTAGCAAACAAAAATTTACAAATCCAAAACCAAAGTCAAACTCATGAGATGTAAAATATTAGTTGATGAACGTTATAATGCCGGAATAAATGAACCAACTATAATTAAAATCAAACCATTAACTTTTAATATCAAAAAATAAAAATAAAGAAGGTGCGTGTGTGATATGGAAACAGTCACTACGTGTTTTTAACAAGAGTGCAAACTATAGATGTGCATAAAGTGTCGACTTGCAATGCGTCAACGCTATGTGAAGAAGGAAAGGATGCACGATCACAGACCCCAACCTCGAAAACCCAAAAGAGCAACATTTAAATAAGAAAGCACAAATTGTTTTACAATAGATTAAAACTAATTTTAATCGTTTCTCTCGCCTCCGTACACACACTCGCTCACTCGCTAACTCCCTTCCATACAACGAGTAACGGACAGGAAAAAATGCAGCTGTTGGGTGAGAACACACCTCACATGAGCTCCACCACCACTGCAATCAAAAGACCAGCACACTCTACCTCTTCAAAACACCCGCACCTCAGGCATGCACACACGACACGAACGCACGAATGCTCACACGCAAACACGCAGCACGCACGCACTCACTCACGCACCACACACATCACTCACGCAGCACTCACGCACGCACGCGCACACACGCACGCACGTGCACACACTCCGCTCGAACGACGAGAAGAAAGACATGCAAGCGTCTACCGCACGGACGGACAGGGAGGCGGCAGATCGTCGCGAAAGCCCCGCGCCCGTCGTCCGTGCGGGAGCGCGTGCGCGACGACGTCCTAACACGGAGACACTAGACGGGTGCCGGCCGCCCCCGGATGCAGAGAGAGAAGGAAGGATGTATACCACCGCCACGCTTCCGTCGCCGCTCGCCACTCACCGATTTCACGACAGCTGCATTTTTCGCCGATCCCTGTCTACTTACAGGAATATTGAGCATTTGCGGGTCGACGGGGGTGCGGAAGGGGATCGACTCCGGGTCCTGCCTGTAGAGCTTCTCCAGCGTCGGCATCAGCGCCTGCCTCAGCTCGTCCGGTTTGAACACTGCCGACAAGAAAGCCACGCGCGTGTTAGGGGGTCGCCACGACGACGAGGGCGTGTTAGGAGGTCGCCATGACGACGACAAGCAGACACGCGAGAACTTCTGCAGTGGTCGCGCAGAACAGCCGCCTCACCGCTCCATTGCATTTCAGAAAAAAAATCGATTAAACTCGATTTAAACTCTAATTTAATTTTATCGCTAATTTAATTCGCGAGACGAAAATTCCGACTACGGTTCGGTTTCCAGTAGCAGCAGGTGCGATCGCAGCAATCGTTCAAGTAATTCGACTTGGAATTAACGGATACGTATCTAGTTCCGGAAGAATTCTGGAAGAAATTCTGGAAATTCGCGCGTAAATCCACCTACGCGAGGTAAACTCGCCCGCCGTTAAATACCTGCATACAAGGGTCACGCCCGCCGTTAAACACCTGCATACAAGGGTCACGCCCTACCTTTGCGGTTTGCCTTCGGCTTAGGCGCGGCGCTCGACTGACCCTCCTGCTTCGGCTCCGTCTTGACGACGGCGCGCGCGAGAGCCTGGCTGCTGTTGCTGTCCTCGCCCGTCGCCACGGCCTCCATCTTGATGGACGCCCCCGGCGGCAGCGGCTCCTGCTTGATGACGACCGGCTCGCTCTTCACGACGACTCCGGTTTGCATCGCCGCAGACGACATCTCCGGCTTCCCCCCGGCCGACGCCGGCTGCGTATCCATGCCTCCTCCTCCGGCTCCTCCTCCTCCTCCTCCTCCTTTGCCCTTCTCGTACGCGGGGTCAACGCACTCCTGCTTGATCGACGGCGGCTGGCTCTCGGTCTTCATCGCGTCCATGCCGCCGCCGCCGCCGTCCTTGCCCGACGACGGCTGCTGCGCGAGACGGCCCGGCGTCGCCTGCCCGGCCTCCTGCTGCGTGAAACAGAGAGAGAGAATGCGTGATGCGGCAGTCGGAGGGACGGGAGCGACGACGTGCGGGGAGGTGTAAGGGATCCACGTTGAGAGGATGGACACAACTTAAGGTTATGCGTTTCACGGTTAGAATATATTGTACAGGAAAATCAGTAAAATAGGCACAGTATCACTCCGCGTGAAAACTGCTGTAGACATGCAGCGCATATCTCGCATCTAATTTACAGGCCGCCAGGATTCTCTGTATGCCCTTGGTATGCTTTGCAAAAAATAGCGCGGAGAAGGCCTTCGAACATGACAGCGAATTAAACCGCAAGATGAGGGTGGGGCAAGGCCGGTGCAGAGATTACGTTGGCAGAACTTGTTTCTCCTTTCGTGTGTCTTGCCCGAGAAGCCATTCAAACATCCGGTGCACACGAAACCTAGCAACAGACACAGGCCCGAGTCATCAAAAGCGGTGCCCCGTCAAACTACCCCCGGCGTGGGAGGCAACAGCAATGCAGGGGCCGAGAATAAATAGGGGGGGACGCCAGTGAAGCCCATGCTAGATCAGCGTAACGGTCTAGCGCTTCGCAAGGAAGTCCGCAAACGTGAAAAGCAGACAATCTGTGGCATTGTATAATGTAGAGGGAAAGCGCTTACCCCTTCTCGCGTCCCAATATTGCTGCTGGAAGTGCAGAATGCAGATACTGATTTGCAAAGCTATTCTAACCGCAGTCAAGACATTCCAAACGAACACGAAAAACAGATAAGACGTAAACGCAGAAGAATCTCACAAAGAAGTGGTGGCAGAACCCAAATTTTTTGGTTATACGAACTGTAACGTACCATACTATCCTGATACTATACTGATATTACATACCCTATACTATACATACTATACTATACTATACTATACATACTATACGTATATACTATACATACTATAACTATATCTATACTATACAACATACTATACTATGAAGCTAAATACTAATACTATACAATACTATAGCATACTGATACTATAACTATTACTATACTATACGCTATACTATACCCTATATGGTGGAGGCTTAGTAGCTATACTATACTATAACTAACTAGACTATACATACGAACGAGAGGGCGGAGGCGGGGGGCTATACACTATAGACAATACTATACATACTATACTAATACTCATTAGCCTCTAACAGACAAGTAATCAGACAGGTGGCCAACGTCGCTGTTGGCTTTAGTAGAAAGGTAACTTGACGGTGTCGTGAACACCAATTAGGTCATTTTCTGACGCTCGTTGGAACGACGTCTTTCTGACGAGCTGCTGCAACAAACGAGCAGCATCGAGCCTTTAAACAGGCAGGCAAAAAGCAGAGTTCACACTAGTCCATACCTCGACCCGCTCTACAGGGCACGCAAGATTCCCGGAACACTAAAGCGAATTCAATATTAACGCAATATTACGCCGACCAACATACAACAACGATGAAGAACCAGAACGACATCTCTAAGCACTGGTTGGCAAGCCTTGATTAGGCAAGTTGTGAACTTGCCGAAACGAATGACTCTTTATCCAAAAATCTACATAAAGCCTAAAACGAGCAGCGTACAACAAGGCGTGAGATAAATTTCCGAACGAAAGCCGCAACAAAACTTTATAGAGAATTGAGAGAACAACGAGACAGTTCCAGCTGGCCGCAACATGCAAGTAGAGCGACTTTCATCGCCGCATGCGAGCAGGCGCGTAGTTAACACACCCCGGCGGAGCACAAAACAGCAGAGGATGCGAAACCCTCGCAGTAGAAGTGCCCGCGTCGTGGCGCGTAGAACGGTAACCTACTCGGAAGAGCGCGCAGCGTCGCCAGACGCGGTCGGCGGTGCGAACGGCGAGACGAATGTAACGTCGTACGGACGGAGGCGCGACAGAGTCGTCGCTGAGCGGTGGAGCCTGGAGTCGCCGGCAGCTCCGAGAAAGATCATCTGCTGGCAGCTAGAAGAGACGATACCTATCGTAAGAGAAAGGGCCAAACTCTTTGTAGCTTCATTGCCGCCCGCAGTCGCGGGCGGTCGGGCCGGGGCCCGGAATTTGAAAATAGAATGTGGGCGCACCGGGCGGCCGCAGGGAGTGGATGCAGACAAGCCACATGAAAGAGTAAAGCCGAAGGCAGAACAAACACGCAGACAAGTTAGAAGTAAAGATTAAAGAAGAACTTCACCGGAACGGATACGGACGAGCAGATCACGACTACATCTGGTACCCTCTCACAAGTTCTTCAATATCACTCAATTCACATCAATGACAGACAAGAATGTACGACACAACTCCATATTCTGCAATCACAGCTCAATGTTCAACTGGCCGTTAGACATAAATCTGCATGCAGAATAAACATGATTCCTCAAACAGAAATCAAAAACGTAAATTACTATGTACACAGGCGTATACATGCAGCGAACACTCACACTAACACATTCGCAGGGGTCGATTATTTATTTGAAGGTTGAGGCAAACGCTAACATGGGTTGAATTTTCGGGCAATACACAAAGGCGAGTGGAAAAGCACCCAAATTTTTCCAAAATGGTAAATTTTTTTCCAGATGGGAAACTAATGCAAATTAGCATTTATCATTGATTTTTAAACATGGATACTAAAGGAATACCGGATAAGGCAAACCATCCGGAGGGTAAAGATGCATAAGGAGCATGGCAAAGCCAAATGAGTGTTGGTGTAAAATCGAAGTGGATAGCAGCTAGTTTTCAAGGGTCAAGTAAGGTCAGTAGTAAAATTTAATGCCTTGGACAGACACGACTCACACACAAACGTAAAGCATTGACACGCAAGCACACACACCGCACGTAACACCTACACGCACATGCACGAACGCCGGGAGACCCGACGCCTGCACGCTCGCGTAAAAATAACATGCCTAAAACAAGGCGAGCACAGCTCACAATATTCCCAAGACCCCACGATTACAATTCAGCTACAGGTATAGGTTCGCATATCATGCAAGGTAACGACGCAAGCACCAGAAAGCGATCACGCATGCGCCAACCGATCAACAACGCAACAGAGGAGCTCACGTGCACAGTACGGTTGCAGCAGAAAGCACGGACAGTGTGGGGGCGCGGACAAGCACATCTGCGCGTCGAGCTTGCCCGAAACGGGCACCAGGAACGGGGGAAATCCGGGCACTCACAGGGCAAGAGCTCTACACACGCGCCGCGCATTGTCTACACGTTACGCGTCACGTTCTCTCAACAATGACTAATGCTCCCGTTAACCAGAGTGGGCAAAGTACGTCAAGTATAAGATATATCTCTCTCTGCATCTGTTTGTCTCTGGCTCAATTCCTCCGCATCGACCATCTCCTCTGGCTGTATCTCTCGTCTCTTACAGCTCTCATTAATCTACTGACTGTTTGTCTGTTTGCTCTCTCAGTCGCTGTCGCTACGGTCAGCGTGGGTCCCCCCGCCTCTCTCAACATCGAACTTCGATCGCTCAAATCGATCATCAGGAGCTCTCAAGCTCTCAGGCTCATCTCTCTCTCTCTCTACATCCTCTCGGTCTGTCTCTTCAATCTCCGCTCATCTCTCTCTCAGTTCATCCATCCTCGAGTCGTCGTCTCTCTCTCTCGTCTCTTCTCGTCTCTCTATTCCCGCTCTCCTCTCTCTCTGTCTGCTCTCGCCTCGCAAATCGCTCTGTCCGCTACTCTCTCGTCCTCTCTCGGCGCCGAAAAGCCATCATCTCCTGCTCAGGCCCGCGCAACTTCGTGGGCTCTCCTCTCTCTCTCTCACCCCATCCACTCCCTCCCACCTCGCTTCATCACCCTCCCTCGCTTCCGGCGCGAATCGGAGCATTCGTCAAGATCTTTATCGATATCTCTCTTCTCTCATCTCGGGCGCACCTCACCCCACGTATCGCGAGGACCTAACCTGTTGTGATAGCTCCAGTAGGTGGCGTCGCAGCGGAGATCGCACACAGTTCTGCCTGTA